GTCAAAACCACCCTTGGGTTGCGCGGAGGCAGAGCCAGGCTCTGCTAAAGGCACCTCGTTTCTCCAGCACAGTGCACAGCGTCATAGGAGGGACTTTGGGCTTGAGACCAGGCAAATAGTTAACAGTAATTAAACCCTAATGAATTAATAATGCCAAGAATGAGCTTTTAGGGGCTCCCCTCTTCATACCTGAGATCTCCCTGGGGTGGGCGAGGGCTGCGATAGCTGGAGGGGAGCCCCAAAATGATGCTGGGGATGGGTTTGACCCATTGCAGGGGGTGAGATCTGTATCCTGAATCCCTCCGGGAAAAGGGATGCTGGAAGGGGGAGGAACCCCCCCAACATGAAAGCACCCAAAGCAGGGGGTATATGGGAACAATGCTAAAAGTTTGGAGTATTAGGGGGGGAGAAAAGCGTTTTGCTGCTGCTCTTCAGGTCCCCAATTGTATCCCGAGCCCGCAGCCAGGGAATGTGGAGCTGGGAAAAGGGAAAACAATAAAAAAAGGTGGGGAAAAGTACAAATAAAACCAAGTAATTACAAAAAAATAATAACCCCCCCAAAACTAAGCCTGGATGTGCCAAAAGATCCTGCTACTGTCGGGAACGCAGAAAGCCATGGGCCGGGGGAAGCAAACCCGCCCAAGGCTTTGGGAATGGGGTAACAGGTAGTTAAATCCGCGGCTGGCTTGGAAAAGCGGGGTTCGGGGGGGTCCCGGTGAGGTTTGGGGGGTCCCAGCCAGGTGTGGGGGTCCGGGTGAGGTTTGGGGGGGTCCCTCAGATGGTGCGGGGGTTGTACTCGGGCAGCTTGCGCAGCTTCTCCTTCTCAGCATCGGTCTCGTCACGGGCGATCACCAGGGAGTGGGCATAGCCCATGGCCACCTGCGGGAGGGGGGGAACTGAGGCACGGGGCCACACACCTCCTGCCCCCCCCATCCATCCAGGGCCATGTCTGAGCACCCCATGGGTGTGACGAGCTGTGTACGGCCTCAGCTGACGCGTTTACATAAGGGGAGGCCCCCACACACCCTCCCTTGAGCACCCCATCGCTGTGATGAGTTGTGTACAGCCTCAGCGGACATACTTACTTAAAGGGGAGGCTCTCAGGCGCCCTACCTTCAGCACCCCATGGGTGTGATAAGTTGTGTACTTCCTCAACTGCTGTATTCAACTAATGACAGCCCTTCCCCCACCCGTAGCATCCCATGGGTGTGATGAGCTCTGCATGGCCTCAGCTTCTGTACTGATTTAAGGGGAGGCTCTCATGTGCCCTCCTTCCAGCACCCCATGGGTGTGATGAGTTGTCTACACCTTCAGATGACATTTATTTAAGGGCAGGCCCCCACACACCCTCCCTCCAGCACCCTATGGGTGTGATGAGCTGTACACAGCCTCAGCCACTGTAGTTATTTAAAGGGGGCCCCCACACACCCTCTAATGCATCCTATGGGTGTGATGATTTCTGTATGGCCTCAGCCCTCTTTAAGGAGAGGCCTCCACACACCCTCCCTTTAGCACCCCATGAGTGTGATGAGCTCTGCATGGCCTCAGCTGCTGTACTGATTTAAGGGGAGGCTCTCATGTGCCCTCCCTCCAGCACCCCATGGGTGTGATGAATTATGTACGGCCTTAGCTGTCATCTTTATTTAAGGTGATCCCCCATCAACACCTACCCTTTAGCATCCTATGTGTGTGATGAGTTGTGTGTGTCCTAAGCCTTCCTCTTTATTTAAGGGAGGGTTCTCACACACCCTCCTTTAGCACCCCACTGGCATGATGAGTTGTATACAGCCTCAGCTGACATACTCATTTAAAGAGGAGGCTTCCTCGTGCCGTCCCTCCAGCACCCTGTGGGTGTGATGAGTTATGTATGGCCTCAGCTCCTGTACTGATTTAAGGGGAGGCCCCCATGTGCCCTCCCTACACCACCCCATTGGCATGATGAGTTATGTACAGCCTCAGCCACCGTATTTATTTAAGGGGAGGCTCTCACGTGCCCTCCTTCCAGCATTCCATGGGTGTGATGAGCAGTGTATGGCCTCAGCTGCTGTATTTATCTAAGGGGAGGCCCCCCCACACCCTCTTCTCCAGTACCCCCTAAAGTGTGATGAGTTGTGTATGGCCCCAGCCACTGTAGTTATTTATTGGGGGGCTTCCCCCACTCACCTGCTCCGTGTAGATCCCATCCAGGGTCTTCACCTCTTGGGCAGCCGTCGAGGATTTGGGCTTGTGGTCCCCATAGCCCTGCCAAGTGCATCCCATGGAGAGAGGGGAAAAAAATCAATGCAGGAGTTGTGGGAAGCACCCAGTCCCTCCCTCTAGCAGCTCGGGGATGTGTTTGGGGTGTCAAGGGGTTGGGGGTCCCCACTAAATCCTTCTCACCAGTTCCCCAAAGGTGGGTGAGGGCCCCCAGCTGATGGTGCTCTCATCTGCTGCCACGATGATGCTGCTCTTCCTGCAGTGGATGCAAGGCGGGGTGACCCCGTGTCCCCCCCAGCCCATCCCACACCCACAGGCACCAGGCAACTGGGGTGGTTTTGGGGAGGCTGGACTTACCCACAGGCCAGGCTGCGGATCTTCCAGCCGCAGAGGTCCTGCACAGCTTTAGGGTACATGGTGGACTCCCGGGAGGTGTTGGTGGCACCCCAAAAGAACAAGCCGCCTGCGAACCCCAACAACACTAGTCAACGCACCCCGAGCGCCCCCAAACCACCCCAGATGGATGCTTTAGACCCCCCAAAGCCTGACCTGTCTCACTGACGGCGAAGGAGCACGTGTAACCAGCGTAGATCTGCGCTGCTCCGCGCCCGGGGAAGTCAAAGAGCTTGACCAGCCGAGGCACCATCTCGTCCTTCTGCTCAGCGTGGCCCAGGCGCCCGTAGCCCCCGAAGCCCCAGGAGAAAACACGCTTCTGAGAGTCCAGGACGAGCTGGGGATGGAGAAAAGTCCCCCCTGAGCGTGAGCAGCTGAGACCCAACCAGCTCAGTGCAGGGAAAGCTGCAGCAGCCACAGCAAACGGCATCGACTGCACCATATGGCAAATGCTGGATGTACACTGGAAATCTCTGTCCTTAAATGCAGGCTGCAAATCTCTGGCCTTAAATGCAGGCTGCAAATCTCAATCCTTAAATGCAGGCTGCAAGTATTTACACTTACATGCACAACACAAATCTGCATCCATAAATGCACACTGCAAATCTCTGTGCTTATATGCACACTGCAAAACTTTATCCTTAAATGCAGGCTGCAGGTCTTGACCCTTAAATGCAGGCTGCAAGTCTTCATCCTTAACATGCTTCAGAACTTCCTCCTTAAAATGCATGCTGCAGATCTCTAGCCTTAAATATGTGCTGCAGATCTTCATCCTTCCATGCACTCTGCAACCGTTCATCCTTAAAAGCTCCCGCAAACATTTCCCCTTAAATCCACGCTGCCAACCTTTATCCATGCACTTCCTTAGGGCTGCAGTAGCCAATGCCTACCGTGTGGTTAGCCCCACACGCCACGTCCCGCACCACCACGTTGGGGACGGGCAGGATCTGCCCATCTTTGGTCTTCTCGATGAAGATGGCCACGCGGCGTGGCACCAGCTCGCAGTCGTACTCTATCCGCTGCGCCCGGGCAATGAACTTCCCATCGGAATTATGCCCTAAGGGGATGAGCACTGGGATGAACACGGGGTATCCCCAGCCCTACATCCCATTATTCCCAAGCCAGCTGCATTAATCCCCTTCTCCTCTCGCAAACCCCTTTTTATTCGCAGCTCCCACCTCACTGCTTTTGCTGGAGGTGAATGGGAGGAGTGATGCTTTGCTTGCTCAGGTGGGGAAAGTGAGGCAGGGAGCTTCCCCCCTCTCCCAACCCTATATAGCTCAAGAGATTAGCAAATCCCACCCCAAAACAGCACCGTACCCAGCTGCCCATACTCAGGGCACCCAAAGGAGTAGAGGTTTCCTTTGCAATCCATGATCATGCTGAATTCAGCGCCGCAGGCCAGTTTGGTGATGGGCTGCCCGTTGTACATGATCTAGGGGAGACGCCAAGAAAAGGGGTAAGGAAAAACAAGGAGAAAAAAAAAAAGGCAAAAAGCTGAATTTCCACATTGGAAACCCCCAAATTCCCCATATCTGGGGGGTTATTTTAAATTCTTGCAGCTTATTCTCCAACTGCAGCTGCAAACGGATCCCACTGGGATGCTCTGAAAGGGGTTTGGACTCTACTAAGGCTATTTTTCAGTGGAAAAAACCCCAAATCTGATGGGTTTTCACCCAAAAAGGTGAGGGGAAGCACAGGGAGGGCAGCGATACCTGCGTGGGGCTCGGCACGGCGTCCGTCTGGTTCCCCAGCCCCAGCTGCCCCATTTTATTCTCCCCGAAGGCAAACACGGAGCCGCTCTCTGCAAGGCAAAAAAAACCCAACTAAACACCCAAAAAGCACTGGTGTTTTGGGGCAAAATGAGCCGACTTCAGCCAATTGACCCTAAATACGAGGGGGGTTTCCTTACCTGTGAGTGCCAGGGTGTGATTTCGCCCACAGGCTGCCAGCACGATGGCTTCACCCCCCAGCACCTCAATGAGCTTCGGGGCTTCCACCCGCTTCGTGTCCCCATGTCCCAGCTGCCCCTTTTCATTGCGACCTAACCCAAAATCAGTGCTTTTTGCAGCAAACTGGGAAGACGAAGCCTCCTGGTGTGCCCAAAGCGGGGTTGGGGGTGGTTTTGGGGGTACGCCCATCCCACCAGTGCTCACCCCAGCTCCAGAGCTTGCCCTCGGCGGTGATGAGCAGGCTGTGAGCAGCGCAGGGTCCAGACACCACGCTCCGCACCTGAATACCTGAGAGACACCCGTACCTGTGCGGCCCCCACAGGTTCTGGCCCAGATTCCGATATGCAACTATAAAAAGACCCCAAAACAACCCCCAAACATTAATTAATTCAACAATAATTAAAATCAAATGCATCAAAAAGAAGCAGGGCAATATATAAGTCAACAGAAATGCATCAAAAACCAGCAGCGCCTTTATTTGGCTTTGGCAAGATGGGTGCACCCCAAGTTCTGACCCAGATTATGATATGCAACTGTAACTCCCCCTCCTAATTAATTAATCAAACAATTAATTAAGTCTAAATGCACTAAAAATAAGCAGAAAAAAAAAGAAATGAAATAGAAATGCACTAAAAATAAGCAGCGCCTTTAGTTTGCTTTGCAGGAGATCTGGTGCACCTCAGATTCTGGCCTAGATTGCAATGTGCAACTGTGAAAAAGACCCTCCAACATATTAATTAACAAAACTAGTAATTAAATAGAAATGTATTAAAAACAAGCAAAAGAAATGCAATATAAAAGCATAATGAAGCAGCAATGCCTTTATTTTGCTCTGCAGGAGCCCCGGCGCATCCCAAGTTCTGGCCCAGATGATGATTTGAAGCAGGAACAACCCCCCAGATACTAATTAAATAACAATTAACTAGAAATTATTAATAATGAGGTGGGAAATGTGATTAAAGGAGCAAGTTATGAGCAAGGGCAGAGCCCAGCACCTCACCTTGCTGCTTAGGCACTTCTTTGCGGCCGATCAAGTCCCAGTTGGTGGCCCCAAAAATGAGGAGCTGCCCCCGGCTCTTGGAGCCCTCGAGCTTCTGCAAGGAACCAGGAAACCACCAGTGACCCAGGGACAGGGGACATTAGGGACACTGGGGACATGGGGGACATCGGGGATGTGGGGATATGTCTGGGACACAGTGGACATCAGGGACATGGGGGACACTGGGGATGTGAAGGACACTGGAGAAGATCAGTGATGTGGGGGACAGGGGACATGGAGGAACATCAGGGACATGGGGGACTGGGAGGTCATGGGATGTCTGGGACATGGGGGACACCAAGGATGTAGGGGACATGGGAGACATGGGGACTATTTGGGACATGGGGAACATGGGAAATGGCTGGGATGAGGGGAACTTGGGGGATATCAGGGACATGGGAACAAAGGGGGTACAGGGGACATGGGGGATGTGGGGACATGGGGCACATCGAGGACATGGGGGATACTGGGGAAGTGGAGAAGCATCAGGGACATGGGGGACACCAGGGACATGGGGGATGAAGGGGATGCAGGGGACATCTGGAACAGAGGGACGTGAGGACACAAGGGACATCAAGGACATGGGAGACACTGGGGATCTGAGGGACAGGGGGGACATCTGGGATGTGGAGGATGTGGGGAACATGGGGGGAAACCTGGGACACTGGGGACAAGGCAGATGCAGGGGACACTGTGGACAGGAGGGATGTGGGGACATGGGGGGGAACATTCTGCAGTACCACCCCCTGGAACACCCCCTGAAGCCAGTGCACCCCATTCCTCTGCAACCTGGGCTTTGGGGGGACAATGCAGTGGCTCAATAAGGGGGAGCACATCACGGGGTGCAAAAGAAGGGGTGCTACTTTGGGGGTGCAACTTTGGGGGGTGCTGGGGGCACACAACAAAGGTGGATAAAGGGGGGGTGCAATGAAGGGGTGTATTGAAGGGTGTTGGGATGTGTTAACGGGATGCATTAAGGGGTACAATAAAGGGGGGCATTAAGGGGTTCAATGGGGGTGTGATTTGGGGGTACACTGGGGTTGCAATGTGGTGGTGAAATAGGGGTGCATTAGTAGGTGCAATGGGGGTGCATTGGGGGTGCGATGTGGGGTACAGGAGGAGGTACATCATGGGGTGCTCTAGAGGAGGGCAATAAGGGGGTGCAATAGGGGGATAGGA